AATTTTCAACAAATTCTTTTATTCAAGATTTCTTTTTTTTCTTTCATTTGTTTTTCGTATTGTGCTAAATAAATTAGGTAATCAGTGCTTTGTGAATTGAGATTATTTTCACGTGAATAAAGGTTTTAATTTGTTCATAGATACTTAGAAATGATTTATTGTTTTGAATTGTAAGGTTTATTTAGTTTTATTTTTGTTTTAGTTGGTCTTGTTATTTGTAAATACTATTGCAAAGTTCACCTGCTGGTTCTGCGCCGGTTTCATGGAATTGATTAGCTACCTGAGACTCTATGCATTCTTGAAGTAAAGAGCTTTAGCTTTAGACTCTTAAATCAGTCAATGAAGTGAAGAAAATGTTTTCAGTAGTTTCCCAATAACATTATTATTTATTTAATTATTAGCTAAAAAATTAAGAATTCGAAATCAATTAATAAATATTCATTAACTATCATCATCATGATTCATTTAGATTATTTATTAAATATTGTACTAAAATTAAGCAATATCATAATCGTAGTAAAGTTAAAAACGAATGAAAATCTAGCAGCAATATTCTATTCAAAAGAAAGATCTAGATAATGCCCCGAGATTAAAATATGAGAACAAACATTACATTCGTTGTTCAAGCGTTGTTCCCTTCCAGCCTACTCCTGCTTTCATATTAAAACCTCCTTTATAGTTAGGAAGTAACAAATGGATTATATTCTGTTCTGAACCTTTCTTAATATCCCTAAAAGGTCGCTCAGTATGACAAAAACAGGCGCCATTTTATTTTTGTGTCAGAAAGCAATTACTTATTCAAAGGTTCCCGCTAAATATTAGAAACGAACTGGACGTAATAAAATAATAGTTTTACATTCTAATATAATTTATGTCCTTAATTGAAATCCTGAATTAGTGTCACTTTTATTTACACCATGTATGTAAATAAAATTGCGCTAGCACCCTTCCCAGACTACAGGGAGTAGCGTTCCGCGCGCGCCTTAAAAAGCCAATAGACCACCACAGACGGGGCCCTATAGGGCTGATTTTCAGCCGGGGTTGCAGGGCAAGCGCAATGAGGCACTGCGTCCTCGGCCTAGAGCAGGAGAAGGAACGGTGGGGTTTTTAGTCAGTAAGAACCTGACACTCCCTCCCGCCCTACCTTGGGCGGGAGAATTCATTTGATGATTTCATCCTCACAAAAAAACCTACTTCCCAGGCTGATCCTATCATAGTTCTGCGGGAAGAAATTCTAAAATTCATAAATGTGTCGTACTTTGTGCTGAATTTCTATTTTTTTTATTCATGTGCCACGATCACCTTTGCAAACCATAATTCAAAAAGAAGATTGACATAATTTAACAGTACTATGCAAATATTTGCTATCCGCCCTTTCGTACCAAAAATAGCAATTTTAATATCAAAAAGGTTTTCTTGTTTCTTATAAAAACGAAGTTGTAACCGGTTCATATTCCTGTTTAATCATATTTCAACGTCAAAATTACAAAAGGTGCGGGAGTTTGTGTTAAAACGACACTGAATTTCAGTAATTTGCTGAAATTGATTCGTTCATAACTTTGACAATGGAGGTTGGATGCCAGGCGTTTTAAATGACGATGTGATCACAAAGAACATTTAAGTTTATAGAGACTGTAAGAAAATCACGTTGAGGTATATCCGATCTATCGATCTGTTTATTGGATGTTTTCGTGTAACTCTGTACCTAGATATCTATAAAATGTTAAATCTTAGCCTGAAATGCGTCCACTCCCGATATTTTGAATATTATTTTTCGTAAATTTCGGGTAAAGAGTTTAGGAAAATCTAGAATTTGCTTTCTTTACCCCTAGTGTAAAGTAGTACCTCACGTAAAGATATATTTGCTGATCGGAGGATGGGGTTAAAATGACCTTGGCGGAAATAGTGGGGTCCACTTCTAATAATTTGATTAGTCGAAAGTGTAAAAAAAATTGCAACAGGTTAGTTTCTTCAATCTTTGAAGCTGTCAAAAATTAGACGTCCGATGGCGAAATGGTGTAACCACTGATGGGTTATTAACTATTCGACGAAGGGACTAAAGTCTATACTGACGCCATCTAGTGAGTAAAAAGTGGTAAACTCCATTCCAAACTCAGTTTGGGAGTTTTTCTAGGGCAGTTAGCTGAAAATCTTTTTTTTTATTCTTAGTAGCTTATCGACATATTTTCGAATACTCCAAAAGAGCTAAAGAAATATTTCTGATTTCTAATATCAAACCCAGAAGTGTTTTCATCAGTGAAATTTACTTTCTTTTATGTTCAAATACATTTAACGGTTTTAGTACTGAAAAAGGTTGTGCGGAATGTCGTAAAATTGTAAAACTCACTGGGTTCGATATTGAGGCAGTCGTTAAATATTATGTCCACAATAAACTAGCTTGGAGTGCTCTTGAGAGAGCCATGAGGGTCTCAATCTTAGCTGGTGTTAGGACGGCGTCTCAACTAATGCCAAGAGTGTCTTAACTAGTGTCACAGAAATATGTGTGTGTGGAGCTGGTCACACTTATTAGAAATTGTCTTCATGCACAAGTGTGGTACCGTCGTGATGACAAAAATGTTGACCTATACCACTGACAAACAATTGAGGAAAACATCGAGAGGAAACCTGGACTTATAAATTTCCAATTATAAGTTTGAAATCGCCAATCCGCCATGAGCAAGCGTTAATGCTCAAACCTTATCCGTGTGAGGAGAGGCCTTTGCTCAGCAGTGGGCACTTATAGTCTGCTGATGTTAGGCCAAGGCAAATATAATAAGTATAAAAATATTTAGAGCATACAAATAAAACGAAGATTTAATTTTCATAGATATATTTATTTTCAATTCAATATCAGTGTTGACTATCATTAGGAATGCGGTGTACACAGTTATTATATTAAAATATATTTCCAAAGCTATCGTCCATTTTACAGCGGGAAGTGATATGTAGATTGCGTACAGGGTTGTCGCTTTTTGACAAAATTTTAAAATACTATGTAAATAGTAATACATAGGTCATCTGATTAATACAAAACACGGAACTGTTTTTTTCTGTGCTTCTTATTGATAAGAAGTGAAAAAATAAAAAAATCTTTTTCGAATTTTTAACGACTTTTGTCTGGATTTCCACCAAAAAACAATAATTGATAAAATGACTATTTTACTACAACAGAGTATTCGTATACAACTTTTGCTTAATTAATATATTTTGACGATCTACCAAAGATGTTAATTTGGGACCAAATCAATATATTTGTAACTCTCGACTCTATACTTACACGATAAAGCTGAAGAGCCTAAAACAATAAGTCAACTTTAAAACAACATTCATAGGCTACTCATCCCCAGAAAAGAATATTCCCAAGATACTGGGAAAGAAATATAGATAGAGATGTTACAAAATGGCACACTCGATACTGAGAAAAATACGGACCTGTATTTCCTAGATTTTCCATAGGTTTTTATGCTACGCGGTATGTAAAACATTTCACAGGTAAATGCACATATTACCCCTTTTTCTTTGACTACCTTCATTTGTTTTCTCCCTAGGTGGGCGAGAGAGAGTGTCAGACTTTTACTGACTAAAAACACCCCCGTTACCTACTTCACTTGCCCACGGACCGTTGCTGTGTTACATTATTGCATTTGCACCCGCAACCCTAGCCGGGCTGCCGGTGTAGGCTAATCGGAATAAGGTACCGCGGGCTCGGCCAGACCAGGAGAAGGAATGGAGAGGTTTTTGCCAGTAAGAGTGCTCGCCATAATCTAGGCGAGAGAAGTCATTTGATGATTTTCCCTCCTCAAAAAACCCGCAAACCCGGCTAGACATTAATCACTCCTGCCATCCAATTTACAGAAAACAAACAAAAACATCACGTAGTTTTTCATTAAAAAATACCTAAGTAAAAGTTGCCAGCCTTTAGCAGGTTCGAATCAACAAAAACACGTGTAATTACGTAAGAGAAACATAAACACGTGTTTGTGTGGGTAAAAGGCTATGCTCACGTTCCCTTTAATTCCAAGAGCGAATTATCACGTGCTAACGAAGGCTAATCTAGTTCTAGCAATTAGCTTAATGTGGCCTAAAAGAGTTTTAGTACTCTTTTTCTTAAGTACTCAAGTCCCATATTAATTTCCAAGCCAAAATAGAAATTGTATTTTTCTCCACAGTCCGTTCAACTAAGTTGGATTAGATATTTAAAATGAAGAGCATTTTAATAACTTTTAAACCTCTGTCTCTAATAGGATTAATTAGTTTTGAACAATCTTTAAATTTAAAATTAGTTTGTTGACTTATAATACTTTAATCACTCTTTTATACTCTGTTGCAAAATTAATAACTTTACAATTTAAACTTTAGTTTTTAGAGGACACTCTGTATTTAATATTAAAAATAAGCGACCACCCTGTACACGGAAAAATAATTATTTAAACTATTATTTATTATCAAGAGAAAAATTATTTTAATAATTGGCACCGAGACAATAAATATCTAAATTATTATAAATCTCTAGAATAATAATGTTATTATTCTCATTCATATATAATTTTCTTATCTTATATAATAATACGAATACGAATTGGCGAAAACAATATGACGAGACGATCGCAAAAATCACAGGAGAATTTTATCAATTCCAAATTCCGTTCAAGCGAATTTTTTATGCAATTTATTCTTTTATTAATTATTTAAAATGAAATACTTAAAATCAGTCGTGCGCGCGAAAATATATTTATTCTCTTTTCAGTTTTCTATTGTTTATAGAACTTTCAACATCGTTTGTACTATCTAAAATGAAATCTATTTTTATGAGAGAATGAATGCCTACTTGATTATATTCTGCGTCATAAACCTCTGAGGGCAAGCGAATTATATGAAAAACGGCGTCTATTCATTGAATGATTACATTAAACATCGAACTTACACTGTCCATTTAAGCTCAAAATTGTAAATGTGAATATATTTTGTATCTTCTATTAAAAATATTTTCTAGCTAGGCCAACAAGATTCATTAGAAACCTGTAGGTACACATTGAGAATATCAAAGAACAACAATATACACAACAATCGTTTCTTTTTGAGTATAAGTTTCACTACAACGAGTAAATACGTCCATCTTTATAAAGAAAAGATTCTAGAAAATTTCCTAAATAAAATCAGTTCTTAAACAATAGAGAACTTGAAAACAAACCCTAATGAATGTTGCACAATATCTATTAAACGTACAAGAAATATCTATTTACAATAGGTCGAGTATCAAGAATATTTTTTATAGATTTGCCTCCGACATAAAGCTGGTTACATTACAACCCTTATTTTAATAGGTACTTGAATACTACGATTAGTTTGTGATCTACTTTATCTGTGATGTAGAAATACAACGTTGTTTGCTTGTGAAGCGGTTCACGAAGGACTCGGCTCTTAATTAAAGGAACTTTCAGCTTAGGCGTAACTTTGCGCATGCTCGAGAGGTAAGTTCGTCAGCTTGTTTCCCTTGTCCACCCAGTTCTTTAGCCTCCCTCGCAGTTCCTCCAAACTCTTGGACTTAGCCTTATTTATCCTCTTGTATTTTACATCCTTCGGCTTGGTCACGTTCCTGTGGTTAGACATCACTCGGTTGTACGTCACCACATGGTTTGACTTCGGCTCGGGTTCCTCATCGCTCTCAGCGTTCGAGGTGCCCTCATCATCAGACTCGTTAGCCGGTGTCATCCGCTTTGGCACATAGCTGTACGACCAAACCTCCTTACCATTCTTCGGTTTTAGCTCCTTATCGTTATCTATGCTCTTTACCTCAGCTGTAAGGACTACGCTCCTCATACGAAAGTTATCCCGCCGCTGAGCGAGGAGACTCGTCTCTTTGTATTTCTCTTCGTCAGTTTTGTTGGCATCGTTCAGTTCCTTCTCTGTGCTGTTTTGAGCACTTAGGCCTTTAGTAGAATCTCCATCAGCTTCTTCTTCGACGCTGTATACTGTTTCGAGGATCTCTGGTCGTCGGAGAAAGCCATTCGATCGTCGAACTACATTGTATTTAAGGTTGGGATCTATGGCATCCGATATTGACCGGACAATGGTCACGCTGTCGGGGTTTGCCGACCTGAACCTTGGCACATGAGGAGTGTTACTGCTATCGAAATCAACGTCTTCCATGATCACAGCGGAATCAGAGTCATTGAGAGAGTCGAAGTCTCCTGTAAGGTGAGTATCTTGTAGCATGTCTCTGAAGTCTGGAATGTTCTGAGATTCGATACCATTGTCCAGAAGCTTTGCTTGTAGAGATTCGATAACTTTCTGTTGCTTCATGATGATTGTCTCGCGTAACGCGAGCATGCTGGAGATTTCCTTCTGCTTTCGAACGAGACGAGATTCAAAGAGAAGAAGTTGGCTGGAGAGAGATTTGAGTTGTTCCGCCTTTTCTTTCTGCAGGCGTGTGACTAGTTCCTCTTGAGTTCGGTGCGCACGGCGCCATGTCAGGAGCTGGTGAGCCTGAGCGCGATACTTCATGCGTAGATCTCTGTAACAGCAGAAAAGATATTACAGTTACGATAAGCTCGTTATTTTCTGATAGCTCTAAAAGAAAGAAATAAATCACTTTTATTCTAGCATCTTAGTCTCAGACAATTCTATCTATTAAGCTGTCAGATGGTGTCCGTTATCTCCTCCATCCCTACTTTATTACGACACCTATACCTCTGGGGTATAGAGTTTATTCTTGTCGTGTATTTCCCAACAATTGGACCGTATCGATAGATAATATTGTTTTTAAGTTATTTTCGCAGGAAACTTATACACTAGTTGGAAGTAATATTGTAGTTGTAAGAGTTACAGAATTATTTGGAACAATTCTCCTTGATATTTCTGCTCGGATTATTTATAGTCTGAACTTGGACCTTCGTTCTGACTGGAGATTGATTTATGTTGTATTAGATTTTCAGTGTTGAACATTTATAAATATGTTTTCGTGGTAACTAAAACATAACATATTCACCTTTAAAGGCATATTGTTACTTTCAAAACTGGTAAACAAAGGTTATAATATAATAAGATTTCCAATATAAGTCAATGAAGCGGGTTTCTCATTAAAATGGTACAAAAGATTTTTTTCCTGTGTTTTGTAAAGAAATTAATTATTTATCGAAACAAAGGAAACAAAGGATGATTGCTGCAGGAGTCCAATTCACAAAAACCTCCGCCGGAGCTACTTTTAAAACATAATCTCACACCTTAATAATTTCAAAAACGTATTAGAAACGTAGATCTATTGTTCTAGGCTGATGTACTTGTTTATTTACCTGATACTCCTGCGCGCCTCTTCCAACGTATGCGCCTCCAGAGGGTCGGTGAGGGATGCCGCAAGCGATACGTCAGGCTCCGTTGGGCTGTTCAGAGCCGACTCACTCCGGCTGTGGACAAAAGTCAATAATTAGCTTCTGTTAAGGTCGTGGCAAGATTTAAAAGATTTAAATGAGGGACGTTTTTGGGTGTGGGATACGTAATAGATACCTAAATGATTAGCGCTGTCCGAGTACACCAAAACAAGTATACAACTTAATTCCGTTGTCGAACTTTGAAAGAGGAATAATTCTTTATTTAAAATTTAAAACTATTATTCAATGATATGGAGGTTTAAAACTATGAATTTCACATAATCGGTGAATTTATATAAAAATAAGACATATAAAAAATAGAATCAGAAATTTCCATGATTTTGCGTGAACTCTCCTAACAATTCCAATAAAATAAAATTTATTTTTTAACATTTTAGTAACGTTTGAAACAAATACAATTTGACTCTCATTTCATCATGGCCGAAAGTTTACTAAACACAGTAATAAACTTGACAAGATCATTCGCAAGATATTTACAACAAAGTGTAACAAGATTTGACCCGTATCGTATAAGATTACAAAGTTTAACTTCGATATTGTTTGAAAATAACTTAATCTGAATCCAATATGGAGGGTTATTACTTCGATACAATGTTTCACGGTTCATTTGTAATTAAGTTCTTCCTAGAAATAAAACATTAATATTCCAATGACAGAGAAAAATGGTTTAAAGAAATGGATTCACAAATCTAATTTTATTTTATTTGTCAGGAAAAAATCTAATACAATTAAAAAAAACTTGAATTTACAAATACAACCTTAAAACAGTTGACTTTTGAGAAAAAGGAGTAGAAGTTGAGAAGACTTCAAAGTTAAAACCTTTTTGCAGTTCAAAATAATAATGAAAATACACAGATACATAATTATAACGATTAAACTATTTGGATCTTTCCAGATTTTAATTGCTCTCTTCTTAAGAGACACAATTATCATCGCCGAAGCATCTTTTTGTAACCATTTTCCAACTAAATCGATCAACAAAATTTTAACCAGTTCGTCGGTAACCTAGAAAGTTAAATTAGTTGAAAGGTCCACAAAAACGAAGACCATCAAAGGGTTTATTTATCTTCATAAACTAAAGCAATTAACACGGAAAAACTATTGCTTTGCTGTCGTCGTGGCCCGGAGATTCAGAAGCCTATCATTTATGAGATGAGAGATTCGAATCCTGGCAAGTACTAATGTGACTATTTTTGTGTTAAATGTATTACCATAGATTATGTTGATACTGTGAAGGAAAACATCGTGACGAAACCTGGGCTAATTAACAGCTGCATATAAATTTGAAATGGTCAATTCGTTTTGTGCAAGCATCGATTAATGCTCAAACCTTCTCCGTGTAAGAAGAGGCCTTTGCTCAGCAGTGGGCACATATAAGCTAATGGTAAAGATGATTGCTATGCTCCTAAAAAAGCTGATACAATTTGGGCCCAATTGGATACGAAAGTGGAAGAACAAATTAGCATTTTCATTCTAATTCTACCTACCCTTGTCAATACAAGTAAAACAAACATTAAAAGTTAAACAAAAGCGAGAACTTCACACTTAATGTACATTACTGGCTAACTTTGTAACAAACAGCTCTGTTTAACATGATTCCCAAACATAAGGGGAATTGGAACGAAATGTATTAGCTTTTACTACGATTAGTTGCGAGTTTTAATTGCGAAACTAGTTCGTGATACAAGCAAATGTTTCTGAATTAATTACTGTTGGAGAACACACACATTTATATATTTTTTTTGACAAATTATCAAAAATGAAGTCTGATAAATTGATAATAATGACTCACTCATGTGAATTAAGTGAGAAAAGCTCAACTAGTTTCGAATCAAAACGGGACTCTTATTCATGAGCAGCGTGCAGACTAAGTGCGTTTTTTAATAAAGTCACGTGGGGAGTTTCTCATCAATAAATTCAATGTTTCAATATAGCTACTACAACAAAAATGAAACCTAATGTTTAGTTATCAATGCCATTTGTAAATGGTTCATACAGACCAGAGGAATTACAAGGCAATACCTAATATAACGATCCTTTCTTTATCAACTCTTTCACGTCCCACGAATTAAATCGTAATGATTGTAATCTCTTCGTAAATTTTCTATCGCGCCTTCAGCCCGGAGTAGGAGAAGGAACGAGATGGTTTTTAGTCAGTAAGAGTCTAATGCTAACTCTCGACCTAGGGATAGAGATTCGCTCCGCGCAAAAAGAAATTCCTAGTTAGTTTTATGAATCAGAAATCGAGTCCGATATCTATAACCTCACCATTTATTTCAACAAAACTAGCCTCATACGCGTATTGGAAAAACATCTATCAATAAAAAACTTCTTATAGAGTTGTACAACGATCAATAAATAGAATGAATGATTTATTTTACTGTTTTACATATAATAAAGAGTTATAACATACTCACACACAAATAATACAATTTCAATTCGTCTCCAACTAACACATTTAATTAGCATTTTCAATTTTACTTCTTCATTTATAGTGTCGACAATCCATCGCAGACTACTAACAAATTGGTATAGGTTGAACTGCGGTCGTCTGTACCGCATAACATGAGTACATTTTCAATTAAATTAACTTTATTTAACACAAAATGTTTGCGGTCTGCGTAAAATATCATTTTACAGTTTGTTTACAGAGTACCTACAGTAACATCATACATTCAGCTTTTACTCGATATTTATTAATTTGATACTGAAAATAAATATTCACACATATGAAGCTACGTGGCATGTAGGGCTGCCGTTTTAATATTCTTTTTAAAGTACTTTTACTTACTAGTTATCTAAGCTTGATGTTACTTATTCGTTTTTCATCGGTAACATGTTAATGAAATGTAACTTTTATAGCAAAATACTGGTAAAACAAATACTCACAATAGAAATTTAAACGAAGTTCTAAAAAGAACTAAAAAGAGTTCGAAAATCGAACACATACACCAAGAAGGCCGTATTTTTCAAATTAAAATTCCCAAGTAGAAAAACATAAATGAATATTTTTGATACATAGAGTTCGAAATTCAAAAACACATTCGGAAAATACACCTGTTATTTTAAAATAAGAAAATTGTTAATTGCATTTCTTATGTCATTGATTGCCGAAAGATTACAGTTGAGGGTAAATCCTCCGCTCCACATGTGTTCCTATGTTCAATGTGTTATTCAAAAATATTCGCCATTTGGTATTGAAAAATTGCACAGCGCCATTTCGAAACCCTTTTTCGCATGATATGCATATTTGTGGTGGGGCCTGTTGCAAACTGGATCGAGCAAATATTCGATTGACAAACATGAAACTGAAAAACCTTTGAAATCTGTTCCCGAGTGAAAATAAACACACGCTGTGGACCAATACACTGTGTTTACAATGCAAGGGGGAAAATAACTGAGGTTTTCATTGCATTTCCATTGAAAACAGATTTTATTTCATATAAGTAATGAATTGTTTGTTGGGACTGTATTTATTAATTTGTTGGATGTGTATGTTTTAAATTGATATGAATGAGTTTTTAATAGTGTTTTCTGAATCTGTTTATTCCTATCCTATCTAACTACCTATATGATATTAAGAAAGCAAAAGTTTGTAAGTATGTATTTTTACGAGAAAGAGTAACCGACATACATTGAATGTAATGACTGCAAAGATGGCGTGGGGTCTGGCAACAAGCAGAACGGAATAACTGTTTGTGTAATTCACCAATTGCTGTTCTAGGTCTGGGTGTGATGTGTATGTGAATTTCTATGTTTATACACATGAATTCTTGAGTACAAGGTGTGGCGAAAGGGAGCGTCAGAATCTCATTGACTAAAAACCAGCTGGATTGTCTCCATCAGTGATGAATGAGGCGTGAAGAGTATAGTTCTCACTCACTAATTCTCCTTCTTTTCAAGCACAACTGCCGATCAGAGATACCATGACGTGTTAAAGCGTGAAGTCGAGAATGAAAAGGGATGGAGCTATAAAAGGTGTATAGCTCCATCCCTCTTTCTTGCCTGGAAGATTCACGCTTAATGGTAGGCCTACAGTTCCCTGAGACACGGCAGCACTTAACCCAAGTAGGGTCACACTGGATCCGTATGCTTAATATAATATAAGGACCAAACGAAGCTTCCTTTAAAGAAAATTAAACAAGATTTTTGAATTGATTTTTATGAAAATAACACCCGGTTTCCGAAAAGCCGATCAATGTTAAAATCAATTTAATCTCTTGTCAAGTCATCTGATTGGTTGACTGAATTATCAACAACCAATCAGATGACTTGACAAGAGATATAACAGGAGATTAGTTAATTTTAGCGTTGACAAGCCTTTCAGAAACCGGGTGTAAGACTACTGATATTAAGGCATGGGAGTCCTACATTTCTGATATTGTATTGAAAAATACGAACTTAATTCCCACCCATTTCCATGGCCACACAAAGATAGGTATTTGGAAAGAACATAAACTCGGTAAAAATATGCTATAAGTTGTAACATACTGTGACGGAAAAGTGGTTCAAACTCTTTGACATCATGACGTCAATGGATGGTTGTCAAACGTTGCCTAGAGATTGTTAATTTCGTCGTGAATTGTCAACACGAGTTGGTGTAATCGGCAAGGCGTGTGGATTACACCACAGAGACCCCGAGTTCGAGTCCCGCCGTAAACATGAAGTTTTTTAGTTGATGGAAGTTTTGTCGAACTTTCTGGAATTATTTGTGTAAAAGAAATGAAAAATTAAAGAGCGAGAAGGAGAATAAATAAAAATGAATAACGAAATTATTGGAAGGTTCTGGAGGCATGACGATCAAAAAGAATAACGAAATTGAATGTTCCAGAACCTGACCGGGGGTATATAAGCGGAACTGCGGCTCACCGCTGGCAGTTGAGTTCTAAGTCTAAAGCGATTCGGAAGAAAAGGAAGAAGTGAAAAAGAAGAAAAGTGAGTGAAATAGTGAAGTGCAGTGAAATAGTGAAGTGCAGTCAGTTAAGTGAGTTAAGTCAGCGTGAACGGCAAAGTTGTGTCAGTCGGCCGGACTCTGCTGTTAAGTGCAATAGAAAGTCTGAAAACCGGTATTAGTGTTTCATTTCACCCAATCCCGTAACCCAAGCCCGCATAGTCAGGAACGTGACGTCAGGCACGTAACATTTGGTGTCAGAAGTGGGATTGGAGAAAAATGCCGCTAGTACCGCAGGACGTAAGAGGAGTGAGTACCCGTTCAATGTCAGAAGCGCAGCGTGTGAGGGAAGAGGGTGCTGCAGCTCAAACCAGCGATGCAGAAGCCAAGCCTGTGCAGGTGGATCTTCTGCTACAGCTGCAGCAAATGATGGCAGAGCAAGCGCGCCGCCAAGAAGAGCAAGCGCGCCGCCAAGAAGAGCAAGCGCGCCGCCAAGAAGAGCAAGCGCGCTGTCAGGCAGAACAGCTGCGGGAGCTGAAAGAAGAGCAAGCGCGCCGCCAAGAAGAGCAAGCGCGCCGCCAAGAAGAGCAAGCGCGCCGCCAAGAAGAGCAAGCACGCTGTCAGGCAGAACAGCTTCGGGAGCTGAAAGAAGATCAAGCTCGTCGCCAAGAGGATCAAGCTCGCCGCCAAGAGGAGCAAGCGCGTCGCTTGGAAGAGATGCATAAGGATTTCACGAAGGTACTGCAAAAGGCTGTCGAACGGGTACAAGAAGTAGAGGAAGGGTTAGGCAAATTGGAACATCGCGTCATGGCGATAGAGGAGAGAGTGGAAGAAGAGATCGCCAAAATCAAGCATGAAGTGACAAGCCCAAGCCCTTTGAAGAGCCGAAGCCGTCTTGCAGCCGTTTTTGACACCCCAAATGTGGCCTCAAGCGCAACGAAAGGGCTCAAGATTCCCCATTACGACGGAACAACATCCTGGACCGCGTTCAAGCTACAGTTTGAGACACTTATGGAGGCTTATGGTTGGACTCAGAAGGAAGCACAGTCAGCCCTCACCCTGGCCCTCCGTGATCAAGCGCTCTCAGTGCTGGAAGCTATCGGCGCAAGTGGGGATCTCAGCTTTAGTGCTCTCCTCGACGCACTTGAGGCACGTTTTGGAGACAGCCACCTCGAGCACGTGTACAGAGCGCAATTAAAAGAGCGTACTCAGCGTGCTAATGAGAGTCTACAGCAATGGTCCGTGGAAATCGAGAAACTTGTGCGTCGAGCTTTCCGGTCGACTCCGTCAATGATTGAAGGCACGCTTCTCCAAGCATTCATTGACGGTGTTCGGGACCCCGAAGTACGAGCTGCTGTTCATCTGGGCCATCACAAGAACATGAAAGAAGCTCTGGCTCATGCATTGGAAGTGGAAGCCGTGCGTGGTAACTCCCGTACCTTACGTCTGCGGGAAATGACGACAACGGAGCAGGTACCTCCACGCCGTCGGAACTTCATGTGCTATGGATGCGGAGAGCGTGGGCACATGCGTAGTAACTGCCCGAAGAAGGTGAACCGCCAGGACGCGGCGGTCTCAACTTCTGACCAGCAGGGAAACTAAATCCAGCCAGGGCTGCGGGGTGGGCGCTGGCCGGTAGTGGAACAACCCCAACAATCTACATCAAGCAAACTAACGATGGAAATACTCTGGTGATAGACGGTCAAGTAAATGGGAAAAACAGTCAGCTAACATTAGATACTGGAGCTTCAAGGCGGTGATAAATGTTCGGCTGCTCGGGCAAAACATCAGGAAACACCTTAAACCAATTGTCGGCCTACGAATGGAATCAGCTACCGGCCAGTGCATACCGATAAGTGGAAAACTGCAGGTAACGATCAAAATTGGGGAACGTGTTTATCGACATGAGGTTATTGTGGCCGAAATTCTGGATGACTGCATCCTGGGACTTGACTTCCTGCGAGGGCACCAGTGTAACATCGACTTAAAATCTGGAGTTTTACTATGTGGAACTGAGGAAATTCCGATGAAGGGTGGAACCCTGGGAAAAGTTTGCTGTTTAAGAAGAACTGTTCTTGCACCAAAATCACAGACTCTCGTACCAATCGCATTACCTAGGAGGAAGGAAGGAAGTTTACCTCGAAGGTGCGCTGTGATTGATAAATCGGAACACGTAAGCTCATGGCTACCGGCAAGAACTGTCGTGGGGTCATCTGATGTCAACCGCATTCCGGTATTCAACTTCAGTGATTCAAAAATTACGATTGAAGAAGGAGAGCCTGTGGGCGTATTGGAAGAAGTGGCCTGGATAAGAAAATGCTCGGAGAATCTTGTGAAGAAGGACAGTACGGGAATAGACTTTGTAACGAAAATCTTGACGAAAACAAAAGTCTGACAAAAGTAGAGACTATGAAAGCTAGAAATTTACTTCTTCGATTCTCTGATGTGTTTTCAAGAAGCGATGGTGATATTGGCCGAACTGGTTTGGTGAAGCATAAAATAAACACAGGTGATACAATGCCAATTCGTCAAAGGCCCAGACGTATACCATTCGCTCGTGAGAAAGAGGTTGAAGAAATGATTGACGATATGAGGAAAAATGACGTGATAGAGCCCTCTTCTAGCCCTTGGTGTTCACCTGTCGTGCTTGTCAAGAAGAAAGATGGTTCAACGAGG